CCCAGCTGCTGTGTGGCCCCCCCAGGGATGTGAGCAGGCTCCATGCCGAGGGCCGGCTTCCCGACTGGGTTGCGCGGCAGAGCCATGTGACGTGCTGGCACCGTTGCAGCGCGGGGAGTGCAGCTGCGGCTCTGAGCCTGCGTGCTGACGTCCCGCTCTGCGCAGGACTGGCCTCGCTTACGCTTCTCCCCTCCTCCAGATCGAAGACCTGTCCCAGCAGGCCCAGCTGGCAGCTGCCGAAAAGTTCAAAGTTCAAGGAGAAGCTGTTTCAAACATCCAAGAAAACACACAGACCCCCACCGTGCAGGAGGAGAGCGAGGAAGAGGAGGTACGCCTTCCCCAGCCTGTCTCTGGGACATGAGCGGGCCGCGAAGCGTCCGCAGTCTGTGTTAAGATGCGCGGTTTTCTTTCCTTCATCCACGCCTCTGCCGTGCTGGTAAAGGGAGGGTCCTTCCCGGAGAGGATCCGGTCCTGGGCGCTGCCAAGGGACTGTCCCCAGGGTTTTGGCAGTGCCCGGTGTGGCCTCCCAGTTTCTGGCTCTGTGGCCTGAGTGGGAGCTGCCCCAATCCAGACAATCCCATTTTCCTCTGCCAAGCACGGAGCAAACCCTGCATCGGGCTGGCGTGAATCCCAGGGCTCTGTCTCCTTTAGGTTGACGAAACCGGCGTCGAGGTGAAAGACATTGAGCTGGTGATGTCGCAGGCGAACGTGTCACGAGCGAAGGCAGTCCGTGCCCTGAAGAACAACAGTAACGATATTGTAAATGCGATAATGGTGAGTGTGCCTGGCCTGGGGCGGCCCGGCGCCCGGGGAGGAGGTGGGGTGTCTCCGTGCGGCACGTAGTTCCCAGCAACTGCACGTAGGGCGTGAGCTCGGGGCAAGAGCGGAGGGCCGGGCCTGCAGCCCTGGTGCCGGCCATGCTGGGTCCTGACAGGCCTTTCTCTCCGCAGGAGTTGACGATGTAGCTGCCAGAGGGAGGAGCCTTTTTTGGTGTTTCAGAGAAGAGTAAAATGCAACTAAATTTAAAATTTGTACTATTTCTATCAATTAATAAAAGTTGTGGCTTATTGTTGGTGAAACGCTTTCTGCTCTGTGTTTGGCTTTGCTGCCTTCCCTTCCCCGGTAGCTGAGGCCCCCGGGTGGAGCCTTCCTCCCGGGAAGATGCCCAGCCCCGATACCCTCAACACCTGCATGTTCCCTCAC